TCCTAAGGGCCTCCAGGGCCTGTTGCAGGGATAACTTTACCCTTACGAAATGTTATTGTGATTTGGAGAAACGTCACGATGTCGCTTTACTCTTGAAAGGCAATTAATGATTGTGGATGTGTATTTAATGAAAAATGATATAGTTATAGCGGAGATTTTGGCAGCGAAGATGGGGAGCCTATATTCTAAAACATTATCAGGCGATCGACCGTCTCAATGTTGAGTTAAAAGACAAGATTTCGGAGCTCTCTGCCGTCTCTATCATATGGGTCGATGTTGTGAAGACCAAACGTCGCTGATACACATATATCGATCTGTCAAACCGATACCTAATCGGCTTCGCATCAGCGACGTTTGGTCTTTCACCACATCTAACCTGATGACCGATATCTCTGAAAAGTTGGTTCTTAACATTAAGACGGCCGGTCGCCCAACGAAATTTTATGTATATTTAATTGCAGAGAAAGCTATTTTCAAATCACAGTACTAAAATATTCTGTACAAAATGGAATATAACGTTTCGTTTGACTCTATATATATATATATATATGTGTGTGTGTGTGTGTGTCTGTGTATATATATATACACACACACACACATAAAAAATAATCAAACGCTCGTACAACGCCATTTACAGGACACGGGTTGACGCGGTGACACCAGGAGTAACCGCCAATGAATACGTGCATTGCTTCCTACACGAAACAAGGACCATGGTCCCCAATAATTTCGGTGGCAGTTGTGATGCCGGAGGTAGAAGCCAAACGTTTAAATGTTATATGAATTCTAAGAATATCGGAATTTCATGGTTACAGACTCTATTGAATATAATAAAAATTAAATTTCAACTGTAATCAAATTTCTATACCTCTGTTGAGGTACGCAAAACATTTTGAACTCCAATTTTGCCTTTAGTTTGACTTATTTAGTGGCATGCCACAATTTTCTTCAACTAAAACATATGTTCAAGAAACTAAAGACTCAAGCAAAGTCGTCATTTTGGATAATGATACAGAATAACAAGCCTAATAGGCTACTGTCGATTTCCGTAATTGTGAATATGATTACTTAGCTCACAGCAGCATAAAATATGCATATTCCTAACATGGAAATACATTTGAAAACTCGAGACCTTGTAGAATGTTTACGAGAACAATTTAAAAGTTCTTACAAAATTTAAAATGATGGCTAATGTAGCCGAAGAGTGTCTTTCTAACTATAATTTCATGAAGTTTGCTTCCGACTTCAATTTATATTCAGAGAGACAGGCTTTGTACACAAGCAGAAAAATAAGCGAAGGAAAGACGCGCCTTCTCTTGGTTATAAAATGTTGTCAACCGCAGAAGTTGACAGGAATTCCAAGACTGGTAGAGTAACAAAGTTACGTCAAACGGAAACACCATTTTAACAGAATGATACTGTGAGATCTAGTGTATTTTTATCTGCAGTGTCATACAATACACCATTTAGCATAGAATGTTATTATTATGTAACTCTAACAACGTCAAATCGTTTAAAGGCTTGGACTATTCAACAATTCAAACATTCGCAATCTTGGCAAAAACTTAGATCGGAGTGTAAGTAAGTAAAGCTATCCCTGTAACAGGCCATGGAGGCCCATAGGGTTGCGAGACGTCGAGGCCCCGACAGTTTCTAGACAATCAGCTCATAGATGGCGGTAAGGTTGTCAGTCCTACGGGCCGGCCGCGCTTTACACCCCAGGAAGATTCCTGGTACTCATTTCTGTTAGAGGCTGAGCCGACCCCAGGGCCATAGTGCGTTTGGGAGTACTAAACCTAAAAAGGTATACTGCATACGCAAGTCATACAGCCGAAATATGTAATTATACAGGAAAATTGTGCATATGAAAAAATGTTATTATAAAAGCGGAAAGAGTCGTGATATACCACTCAAATTTTTGTTCCCCAGAAAGTGGATTTAGGAGAATTGATTTGTCATAAGATTACAAAATTATATATATATGGGCCTCTTCAGAAATACCAATATCAACTCCAAAGCCAAGAAAAAAGTATTATTCATCACATAAACGAAATTAAAATATTAAAATGGCGACTCGCGACTGTATCCAACTTCCCGCAGGGGCTCTACATAGAACAGTGTGAAATGGGAAAATACTGACTGGAAAATTTAAATAAATCTCATTAATATCGTCAGAGATTTCAAGAGTAAAGTAATTTCGAGACATCGATGTCTGTCTGCATCATTTATTCTGTGTTTGTGTTGTCATGTGTAGGTAGAGGCCTTGCGATGGGCTGATCCCCCGTCAAAAGGGGAAATAATAATTCAGAATGGGACCTATCTAGATATCCTAATCCGCCAGGGTAGAAGAAGAAGAAGAAAAGTAAAGTCACTTGTAATTTAATAAGACCTTATTTGCACGCAATTTTTCGGGTACTTCTTTATGTTTTCATGGTAGACCCGCTTTTTTCGTCTGTCATGTTCTCAGTATTTCATGAAATGATATATACTTCTCAAACCGCTTACAATTTGTATCTGGGCCCATTCTCCCATTTTTCAATTGACCAAATCCTTCCAGCAGCAAAATGACTCTGGGCTCGACTCACCCTCTAACAGAAATGAGTACCAGGAATCTCTCTGGGAGTCAAGGTCGGCCGGCGCGCAATGCTGACCTCACCGCCATCTGTCTAGAAAATGTGGGAGCCTCGACGTCTCACAACCCTATGGGCCTCCACGGCCTGTTACCTTTACTTTTTACAAGAGGAAAAGAAACAGTAAGTTCTGGGAATAACTAATCCACCACTTGCCTTTCATGCGACATGGACCGCATAGAAAAGGATGCGTCTGACATTTCTTCGTTCCCGCGGGAACGTGTTTACCGAGCTGCTGCCTAGCAACCACAGGTGGATGTACAGACAGGCCCACACAACCTCCTCTTAATTTCCTCCCGAATCGGGCTTTGATTTGTTCTAATCGTTCCCAAATATCTGAACTGTGCCACATTTTCAAAACTTCTGTTTCCCATCTTTAAGTCATGATTTTGCCCTGCATTCTGGTGACGAGACAGTGACATATACTTAGTTTTCTCAGTGTTTACTTCTAGACCAACCTCCTTACTAGTGCCAATTACAGTTTCTGAAACGTAGTAGTTAAAAAAAAAGAATGGTGTACGAAATGAAAAGTATAGTTTTAATAGTCACACAATCGAAAAAAAAAAAAAAAAATTAAACTTATTTTGTAAACACGTCGTTACATAATGCACGAATCTATATTTAAAACTAATTGTTTCATGGCCAACTCCACTTAGGGACACAACAGAGTAGATTTCTGTTTCGCCTGCCAGTGGAAGTAGAGCCACTCTCTGAAATGGAATGGTTTTAAAGAAGAATGCGATTATGGACAAAATCCAAAAATGCAGTGTGCACCGCTGTCCAAAATAACATTTAAAAGTTAGGCAGAAACAGCATCGTTAAGTAATTTTAAGAAACAGCCACAAAAGCAGATGTGGTACTTTTGTCCTGGAACCATACTTGCTGAGCACCAACTTCTCTTGCATAAGTAAACAAGGGGGGGGGGGCATCCGAACATAGAAATAATCAAATAAATGAACAAAAACGAACAGTACTGAGGATATTCAGTGTTTTCATAACGAAGACAGGGCACACACACGCACATACACAAACAATGGACCAAAGCTGCAGTGGATCACACTCCAGTAACAAACACAACTTCTCCAAAGCCGTTTCTTCTGGTAGAAAGAATCCTGACGCTTCACATATTTCATTTCAAATATGGCGACTTCGCGCAATAAAAATTTTGTTGTTAATGGAATACCCTTGTGTACACATGGCAAGGAAATTCATTCCAAGATATTAATTGGCGTTAATTTTGTTTCTGTTTCTACAACAGAGGGCGTCTGGCGGAGATTGGAAGTCCTCACAGCCACCATTACATGCCTACAGACTGCTGACTTGTGGGACGTATCGTCGTAAAGTCTGGTAGATCATTATAAACAATTCGAAGAGCCTGGTGCTAATATTCTCAGAGTAGAGGAGTAAACGTAAGAAACTTTGGTGACTCTGTCGGACTAAGACAACGATCTCCGTTTTCTTGAAGCTAGAATTTGTCCCGCGAAGAACCGCGGGTACAGTCCTTATGCTTTATATTATTACTAGTATCAGGTTGGCTTTGCACAGAGGATACATTGCATTTAAATCTGCTGACATGGTTTCATTATTTCGGTTGATCTCTGCTTTTGTTTTTACAAAATACTTCGTTAATAAGGTTATTATTATTAACCCAAATAAATGAATAAATAAATTTAATCCTTTAATTGTGGCCAGTCCTATTTATTTAAACAAACAATTCGACTGTGTCAGATCCTCATAGCAATGCTATCAATCTTCTGGTTTTTAACGATGTGTAGTTAGGTAGAAATCCACAGACATTCTTGATTGGCTTACCCTTCGACTCTGAAGAGAGACGCAATACGTTTCTCCAGAAAGCCGGTGGACTTCCTACCGGACTACACACCGTTATAAGCCAGAAGATACTCCGTGGTTTTAATCCGCAAGGGAAATATACCGACCGAGCGACCGCCGCTTTTCGGCGAAGTTAGTGCCAACTTTAGCGGAGAGAGGGTGTCGCGTGGTCAGCGCAACGAATCCCCACGGCCGTTTATTTCGGCTTCTAGACAGCAGCCGTTGTTTCCTTGAAATAGCTCCTCAATTATTCTCACGAGGCTCAGTGGACCCCGTTCCAGGCCTACTACTTGTCAAAAAATCTGGTAGCGCGAGGAATCGAACCCGGAACCTCAAGATCTGTAGCCAGGAACTCTGATCACTAGACCACAGAGGCAGTCTGCCAGAAAACATTACTCTTCAATTTACTTATAAATGTAACATAACAAACCATTCTATTTTCTATACCTGGTCTGCTAGGTTATGTGCTTGGAACCTATGTATTACAGGCCTACAATGTACGAATTAATTAATGCAGGATGGGAAAATTAATTTTACTACTGCAGGGTGAAATATCTTTATTTTAAAATGGGCCACATTTCACAAGTGTTTCAAATATTTTATAAGGCCTAAAGAATCATATTCTGAGACTGAGGGGCTGGAATCCACTAGAGGACGTGACAAACAATAGAAGCGTTTATTCTGGTCCTTGTTTACTGTGAGGTAAGCAAAGTGAATCAATAATATTTACACTGGTACAGAAAAATTTGTTAAAAAACTCTTGACAATTCAGTAGCTCTGGCAGTTATGAACAGTTTTTATAGTCACAGGTCAAACTAAATGACTTTTTCAGAACATTTAGAAAGGTGGGGCCATCATGGCATTTGTATCTAGTGCCTTTAAGAGACAATGGTGGTTATGATGTATTCAGAACAAACAGAAGGATTAAACCATACCGATTCTGAGCATCAAAATACAAAATATTCACGAAACTTGGCAGAAATGTGTATTCATAGGAAGATACATATGTAATAGAATTAATTCTGCCACATATAAGCTTCCAACCGATATACATTTATTTACTGCAAAGCTGATCAATACAGCACTTCGGCAGCCCCAAGTGTGATCCAAGTCAAATCTGATCTGCGGTGGGCAAAGTGGCACTGGGGTGGGTTTTCTCCTTGATTTCCCCTGCCGATTTTAATTCCATTAAGTGCTCCACATTCACTAATCAACTTAAAAAGCTTCCAATTAGTACGAAATAAAACAGATGAACACAGACAAAAATTGAATAAACCATACAGATAGAATGACTGATGAGAACGTCTTCGATCTGTGGCAATTGATTTCCTAGTTTAAAATCTTTTTTAGTGTCCTCAGATTACACTGCTTCGGTGCACTGAGAGAAAATGGTATCATATATTGCAAATTATGCAATAGCCACATGAAATTTCTATGACTGAAAGCTCAGAACAGTACTGTGATATTGCCTGAAAAGTTCCAAACAACTAAATATTGGTTATGTCAAACAACAAAATTCTTATTAATAAAAAATCTTAAATTAAGTAAGTTTTTGGTAATATAGTGTACATAAATTCATGACCATTTTAATTAACAACATTTATATTTTAGGTTTCATGATATTCACACAATCTCTAACAAGCGATTCCTCAGAGTTAATTAAACGTAATGAGGTATTACTACTGTCGCTTACTGCTCCAAAACCGAACAAGATTTCTAGCATTTGCACAATATTTTAGTCATTGGATAAAATTTTAATAACTGTGGACGGTGTACACATTTCCGACCAGCAGTGGATTCCATTACAAGGAGTACAGTGCGAGAATAAGCATTTACAGGCACACAAATAAGGGGAAAGAAAAAAGGTAAAGGTGCCCAAGAAGATGTAGGAGCCAAAGAACTAACACACGTGAAAGGTTAATTTAGTATTTTCTTACAGTTCTGCAAAATAACCGCAAGTTTTTGCCCCAGGATTTCTTCACTGTGTTGGTAATTAGGTGTCTCTTACATCTTAGTGGGCACAGACATTTATGTTTGCACGCATTTCAGGCCAGTGCACATTTTAAGCACTGGTATCTTAAAACACTTCTCATAACACGAGATGATATTATAAAAAATAAGACTTAAATTTTTCATTACTTGTCTGTAAATTGCTAAGTTTATGCGTATACTGATGTATTGCTGCACGTGATAAATTTGTTTGTAGCTTTCGGGTGTCTTACCATAATGTTCAATTTAAGTAAAGATGAAACAAAATTATAAGAAAAATTAAAAGAATGACTTAACAAAGAAGTTATTTAGAAATCTGTGTTAACAGTACAAAAGTACATTAGTATAGTTTCAGCTATACTGATTGATATCTGAATACATTTCACATGTTTTGTTACCTTAAGTTCCAGAACAAAGAAAAAGACAAAATTATGTAAACTTCCTGACAACATTCAAAATCCTGTCGGTCTGTCGTTGTTTTCTTGAGCAGGATGACAACCACCAACAAAGAAGTAGAAAAAGCCAAGAAAAAAATTGCAATACCATACAAAGTCAACAAATCCTTTAAGCTTCATTAGGCCTATCTTATAAAGACAGAATTACACTTTCCGTTTCCTTTACAGACAGCCAATGTCTTCAAAATACAGTTGCCTTCACAACTGTAGTCCTATATTCTTTCAGGGCACCCACTGCATGTTTAGGTGACCTCATGCACTTCCCCCAACTGAGCAACAAGAAAAACAAATGAAGACTTGTTTCTGTGTTGACGTTTTCCCTTTTCACTTCCTCACTTGTTTGTCATCTTATCTGATTGTCACTAATTACGTATATCGTGTAGCTGAGTAGCTGTGGTCATCTTGTAGACATGTTTCTCTCTATAATCCCTTGTATAAAATAGTCATTGAAACTTTGTGTGCATATAATCAATTTAAAAAAGCTTCACATATAACAATAAAAGTTATTTGCCTTTTTAACTTCATTATTTTACACTTCTGCGTTGGTAATAAGAGGCTGTAGACTGCCTGTGTATATATCTTCGGAAAAAATCACTTGGGCCACCAATATTTGTTCATGTTATAAAAAAAAATACACTGGTATACCTCACCTTTTCACACACACACACACACACACACACACACGCACACACATGCAAAAGAAGTACCTCACACATGAAAGTGTAAGTACAAACTGTAACAGGAGGCTAGTTTTAAACGAGCTATAAGTATTATAAATTTAAAAGTTTTTACTCTTTCATTATTAATATTCTGTTCACGTATACTGATAATATTATTAATATTAATATTAATAATAAAAAAGGCGGGATAATCTGTACCCCTCTTCTTGGTTTAAAAAAAGTCACAGTCCCTACCGAACTAACACTTTATCACAAACACCAGCTGTAACCAACACACAGCAGTTCATAAACAATATATCGAAATGCATAGTTGTAATTTACAAAACTGACAAAACCAAATAAAATTAAAAAAAGAGTCCAAGAGATCTAGCAGCAGCCAACCATTAAGAACAGTTACGTTCTTCCAAGCCAACACTGTTCCTTATCTTGAGGCTTTCCTATGTTTGATGGGAAACTTTTATATACTGATTAATATTTTGGTGATTGGTTGGTGATGGTGATGATTGGTTGGTTGGTGTTGGTAGTGGTGATGCATGATGGATTGAGATCAATCCAATCCCCAACGAACTCTCTCTCTCTCTCTTTCTCTCTCTCACTTTCTTGACCAGTACTCGCGCGCGGCCCCAGCATTCTCGAGTGTTCATTGATGAACCTACACATGGAACGAATGCAGTGTCTCAGTGATCGTCTTTTGTTTCCACTATCAAAATAGTTATATAGAGTTAATTACAAATTATCAGGATGCAAAAAATATATACTTATCATAGGGTTGCCACCATCCGAATTCATTATAAAATCACATATCTTCTACATGTAGTTAATTAACTCTGAATGTCATTTTCAATGGGTAAGACAATTTAGTATCAAAAGATCACTGCAGATAGCACTACCTGCAGCAATTCGCAACAATGGAAGCAAACAGAAAGTGCTCAAAATCAAAACTGGTAAGTTATTTTTACGAACAGAATTCCGAAAATTGTGCACGAATTGTAGAAAACTGTGTCAGCTGTTAATATTCTCAAAATATAACAATTACAGGAGATATATTATTATTATTATTATCACCAGTGCAATGAATAAAGAATGTTTCAAAGCCAGACAACTACATATCTTCCAGCGTATTTACCCTTTCAGAGTGGTATGATCGAGACCAACCTTTTCAATATTCCTTCAATTCCCTGCAAGAATTTCTTCACACATTCGTCCTAGAATTCTGGGCAAATGGCAACCCTATAGTTTTCATTACAAATCTTCCAGTTCTCGCCTGATAAAAAAAAAGGCATCACCACTAAACAGCCATCACCACCCCAACATCAAGTACACCTTTTAATAACAAGTTTTTAGTCCTTTACCCAATAACGGATTATAAAGGCTTACACAAATAACGGACTGTATGATGAGTCATGCAAAGAAGTGTTAGACAATTATTTTGATTAAGTCTTGTGTTAAGACTACTTGTTAATGACACTGGTTGCTTGATGAGTGCGATGACACAGAACTATGACATCCAACAATAACAGGCTGCAATGGCACAAGAAGAACTAAGGGGGAGGCAGAGACTGAAAGGGGAATAAAAAAATAATAAAAAGAAATTTCCAAAATGTACATATAGCATTTGCAACACTGGCATTCACATCTCACAAGGACAGAAGAACTGGTCTTACAGCAAGCATGAAGAACTGTGTTTTGTTATAGGCTGTTCCTTTCAGCAGTGCTACCAGTATGGCTTCTGTTTGTCTGTGACCTAATATTAGTGCCTACACCGCTGGCCGATTTCTCTTCAAATTCGATGTGAAAGAGCTATGCACGTATGAACCGCTACATACATTTTTTCGTCGTCACAACAATTCTACACTTCCAATGCATAACTGATAGGCTCGAATGTCAATAACATCAGTTACTTTATTAAGATATAGCTCAAGCGGTTAGTCGCTGGCTTCCCATCGCGGCGGCCCGGGTTCGATCCCGGGTCTGGTCAAGTGGGATTTGCGGTGGACAAAGTGGCGCTGGGGCAGGTTTTCTCCGAGTACTTCGGTTTCCCCTGCTAATCTTTATTCCACCAATTGCTCCACAATCACCCTCACCTATCATCTGGGGCTGGTACAATAGGCCAGAAGTGGCCGCAGTACAAGGGACTTAGTCCCGCCCCACTAGCAATAAAAAAAGATAATACTTTGTTGCTACATGTTTCGGTCATTTATGACAATCATTGGGCATTTATAAACACTAAAATGACACCTACGTTCATTATTAGACTGCGTGTCACAATGGATCCATTGCTATTAGTCTTATCATGTACAAGTGTTTACATGAGCTCACAACATTTAAATATATTTAAATACTTATCTAAATGAATAAAACTTATTTTAAAATAGTTATTTTCTAAAACTTATCCTATTACATTTAGTATTAAGTGGTTTATGCAACGCCGTGTCCACCCGCCACGTAACAGCCAAATTAGAAAACTTCATCAAACGCTCTTCGGCTACTCCGAGTTTCAGCCACACGGATCCATAACAGAGCCTGCTTTACCTATGGCCATAAATGGACTTCTCTAGCCGTCCCATAAATCGTATCAGAGACATTGTTACAATTCGACACTGCGGATTCTAATCGAAATTTGTTGGGCAGTTCCCATTTTTGGCTACACTGATGCATAATAATGGCTGCTGTGCATGAGGTAGTATTTGTAGTATTTTTCTGACATTCCATACCGGAATTTTTCACTAATTATCATTTCATTAATCCAATTTCTTCAAGGACTTCGTAAAGATAAGGGATGTTTACAATGAAAAGCACGCAATTACAAACCTGAGTGAAGATGCGACCTTGGACGACCTTGGATGAAATGGAAGGAACAATTAAAATACTCTACTTTGGCCCAATCCTTCCTACAGAAGAACAGGAAGCCTCTAAATGGCGGGTGGTAATCTTGTACACTACATTACTGAGTATCATTTTTACTGCTAGTGGGATGGGACTAAGTCCCTTGTACTGCGGCCACTTCTGGCCTATTGTACTAGCCCCACATGATAGGTGAGGGTGATTGTGGAGCAATTGGTGGAATGATGATTGGCAGGGGAAACCGAAGCACCCGGAGAAAACCTGCCCCAGCGCCACTTTGTCCACCACAAATCCCACTTGACCACACCCACTCCAATTTTGCCTCATGCTGACGTCATCACCGTCAAATATACAGTGTCAGGCTTTATATGGCTTTCTTGCCATGTCATAGCTCAGGCGGTTAGCCGCTGGCTCTGGTTCGAGCCTAGGTAAGGTCGTGTGGGATTTGTGGTGGACAAAATGACAGTGGAGCAGGTTTTCTCCAAGTACTTCGGTTTCTCCCGCCAATTCCCGTTCCATATCCATTAATAGTCTTATTATCGACACTATATAGCCTCGATACGGGCGGCCTCGTTAAGTTATCGTCTTCCGAGATATCAGCATAGCGCATAGAAAAATTCGATTATAATGCTTGGGCCGGCGTCCAATAGTGCATAACTATTTTAAGGAGGACTGGGACCACGAAATCCAAACCAAACATTTAAGAAGAGTAAAATAATTAAAATTCAATTTTCAACGACTGCAACAGACGTACAGCGTGAAAAGAGATAGACAAGTAAAACAAGACATGAATGGAGCATGAATCAGCTATGAACGGGCAATTCAAGTCGCGTCCGTGTGCGTAAAGCTTTGTCTGTACAACTCTTTCCTTCCTCTCCGGTGCAACACTAAACTGGTTCAAATCGTTACACACACCTACAAAACTAGTTAACTACCTATTACGCAGAAAAGGCAAGCTTGTATAACTGTTTGAAAGCTATCATGTACTCATTTCCGTTGTTTTTCCTACCCACCGGAAGTTTAAAACACATTTCAGCTTATGTTACAGAAGTAGGCTTCAAGAAAACCAGTCAGGTTTTTGAAGCACTTCACTTTGTAGTGCTGAAGTTATAACGTGGCGTGGTGCTTAATAAACCGAACACAGGGACAATTTCATTTTACTTTTTAGCTAATTTCATTATCTTGAAAAAAATAAAAGGAGGTTTATGAGGTGATCATGCTGTCAGCGTGTCTGCATCTCCCTCTTATTAACCCCTGAACGACTAAACCAATCTTTATGAAACTTGGTATGTATATCATGGAACCTGAGCCCATCTCAACGGTATACTTCATAAATCCCTCCCATGAGCCTGTGTGTTTGTGTATGATGCTAAGCAACGACTCGGTAAAAACGTTACCGCGGCAACGAATACACACGCAACAACAGCAGAACTGCTGGATGCGTCGTTTCTATGCAGTTAATGTCGCAACAAAGGAGAGTCTGTGAGTCTGTCTGCGTATTCCCTATCGTTGCTAGGCAACGGCTGGGTAAACCCGTTCCAGCAGCAACGAGGAATTGTTGGAGGCGTCATCTTCCGTGCAGTTCGTGTCGTATCAAATGGAAGTAGGCGATTAGTCCTTTCCAGAACTTCATGTAATTTCCTGGACACATTCGGGTGCCCTGTGTTATAAAAAACAATATTCAAATGTATAACTTTATCTTCAGTAGTGGTAAGCACTTTCACTGTAACGAAATGTCCAGTGTTTTGTAATGCTCCCTTTGTACTGGAAGTGTAATTAACAAAAAGCGTATGTATCTGTATGAACCTTATTTCTCGAAACCACAGCGAGATGAATTCACCGTAAAAAGCGACTTTTGTTTTTCAGTTCGAACGTTCCCAGAGATTTCATGCGCCGGACAGACTCTGGGTTCACACATGCAACAACAGTTTTCGTTTTAATTAAACTCCGGTAGCAGCAGGGGTCCCCACCTCCTCACATCACCCCCCCCCCCACGACGGTTGTGGTCACTGGGGCCCACCCGACTCTACACGGGAATTTGTGAGCGAGGGTGGAGTGAGATTGGTTTTGTGCCCCGACAACCAGTGAGTTGGCATGGTGGTGGGTGCAACACAAAGTTCCTCCTCTTGGGTTTTGGTTCGTGTCCTCCCCTCGTGCGGTTAACCCTCACCCCTTCCAACCATCAGACCGTCAGACCGTCCAATGCCCAGACTCACACACAAGGCTGTCTACTGTTTCTATGGAATTAGCTTTTTGACTATTTTTATCCATATATCTTTTGATCAACACTGGAGACCAATATTGAACACGTGACGTTTGTTGAAAATAAAGGAGACCTGTGGTTTTGTAGTTCAAAAATTATATTCTGAAGCCTCTGCAAGGGTCCTTGCTAAGGATATGAAATTAGTCCTTGGTTCCTGAACCAGCGGGCGGTCATCTAGAAGTTTCATGAATCCCATTTATTTGGCTTTTGTCTGACAAAAGATTTTGGAAAAGCGTTACACAACTAAGTAACCAAGCAACGAACCCAGTTCCTGGTAGCAGAACCAGAAGATCGCAACACCGCTAACACCGAACCCTACCAACACAACCGGGAACAGGGATAGCGACTGGATACGGGCTGGACGACCGAAAGGTCGAAGTTCGAGTCCCAGCAGGATCAAGAATTTTCTCTTCTCCGCGTCGTTCTGAGGGTCGAACCAACCTCCTATCCAATGGGTAAATGGGGCTCTTTCCCCTGGGGTAAAGCGGCCGGGGCGTAAAGTTGACCACCCACTTCCAACTAGTGTTGAGGTCAAGAAAATGTGG